GTCCCAAATTATTAGTTTTGTCCTAACTAATAAATCAGCCAAAGGAGTACCTTGTTTTATGTTACATGTGGAATTTTCATGCGGATTGATTGGAATTCCAAATCGAGAGTGGGCAGTTCTTCCACCAGGTAACAATAATGAAGCAATACCATTGGATGCAACATTTAACACAATTTCTCCTTTGGAACGAAGGGCAGCAGACAAAGTTTTCCATACAAAGGTCTTTCCCGTTCCTCCATAACCGTATACAAAAAAAACCTTTCCCTCATCCGACTCGATGGAAGTCATTACACTTTCATACGCTATAAGTTGTTCCGTATTCAACTGGCCCAAACATTTTTGGTGTTCAGTGCTCAATTCAACGCGGTCATATTGTAGTTCGTCTAGAATGAGTCTGTTGCGGGTTGTTGAGCAATTGTCTATAATAGGAAAAGGCATATAAATGAAATCTCGGAGACTTCTGGCACGCATTCTAAGCAACATCTCAATCTCAATCAAGGTGTAATTTTTGATTTGATCCTCGCTTAACATTAAACCTACAGATTAAATAGGAAAATTATATTCATCGGAAAATAATATATATTTATACAAATTGTAGTCATAGTTAAATACTACCTTCATGACTTAGTAGACAACGTTGGCGATGTAGAATGTCATCTGCCATGAATTCCCAGCATTGCTCCCAAACATGTTTTGGTCTCGACATTGATTCATTTGTGAGAAGTGTTACGAATAAAAATCTTAGTTTATTGGAAGAACACCACTCACTGGCTTCTTTGAACTCATCAATGTACTCCCTATCATCATCTAGCAATCCCAAAGCATAACATGCATCACGATAACTGCTGTGAACAACACCATTGATAGTTTTCAAATCTTCGTATGATGTAGGTCCTCGGACTATGTTCAATAGTATTCTCATATAATAAGATTCTCCAGAACATGGAGGAACATAGATAACACGACCTATCGCAAAACCTCTAAGGCGAGGTTCGTACTCTCTTTTAGATGGCTTCCAAACAAATTTCTGAGGGAACTCAGCATATGTTAAATTCTTTTCCAAGGGATATTTTTCATTTGCTTTCATCCAAGCAAAAAATTTACTCTCGCGTATGCTCTCTCGAGTGTGTACATCACATGCATCATCTTCATCTTAAAAAAAATCCATTCCTCACCTGGTAAGTGAAAGCTCAAGCGTTCAACAGTTGGGGATTTATATTGAATAGAGAATCCAAATATTCGCCAAGTCACTTCGCAGGGTGATATATATCTGCAATCGTAATACAATTTAATCTCATTTGGCATTTCTGCACTTGTTTTTCCAGATGCTTCCGTGCTGGCATAAAATCCAGTAGTTACACGATCGTGCCCTTTGTTGATATACTTGAATAAGTATTTGATAGAACGCGATTGATTGCACCATTCTACATTTAGGTGAGCACCATACTTAAGCAAGAGATATCTATTATGTGGCACTACGAACCTATTATCCAATTCCACACTGTTCTTTAATACTGTTCGACCATCATTTCTTCTCCTATATTTAGGATATCCTTCCTCGTCAATGTTGGTTTCCTCGTTGAATAATTTTGAAAAAAATTTGGAGCACTTCCCATCTTTCATGCAAGGAGATTTTGGGCCATTTATTCCGCATGTTCCGTGAATCATAAAATCTTGAACTGCATTAAAGTATCTTGGATCACTAACTTCATCTGGCAACTCCGCTGAAATGATTTGATCAATATCTTTAGGCGTGAGAAATTTATCTTCTTGCCCCAAAAACAATAAAATGTGGGCGTGCGGCAGACCACGTTTTTGGAATTCAACAGTGTAAAAAACAATTGCCAGAGAAAAACTAATATATATCGGTGAGGATATGGCTCATTAAATAATTGAATTCACGTAATTTATATCAAATAGTATTGAAGGTAGATAAAGGAACACTTACTTGCTCTAATATGTCCAAAAATTTCATTCTTGTTTAAATCTCGTATCAACTCATTCAGTTTGATGTTAAATACTCTAGAAGTGATATCGGGACGATCTTCGGGGTTTAAATTACGGGGACGCAAGAAACATTCAATTTCCGGCCATTTCGGATTGCACGTGAATGTAAGGAAGAGATCCGGATATCGTGTCCAACAACAAATGGCAATAGCATCTTGGTAGCTCTGAATCATGTAACGTGCACCTCCAACAAATGTCGGGGGTACAACAATTCTTTTTCCTTCGGTCGTCGTATCACTCTCACCATTCATCAACGAATCGGAGAATCTGTAATACATCTCACATTGGAGTTTTTTTTGGTGTTTGCTAATGTATGTCAATCTCGATTACTCAACCATCGTATATCCATCAACACATAACTCTTGAAATAGACGACACGAATGTAAAATCAATGTACACTCATCATCCCTTTCATGTAAGCGATATGAAAGAAATTTTCGAATGCTGACACTCCGACGTCCTCCGACCTTTATAAAAGGTTTTTCAACAAAGGGAATATCTTCGCGATAACCATCATCACCATATGAGAATAATAAAGGATATTGTAGACTTAAATATGCTGAATTTAACTCGCTTATCCTTTTTAATGGCCCATATGTTGTCTGTACCAAAATATCCCTCTCACCCAAAGCTTGATCTAAATCACCAACGACTAAAGCAGCCACTTCACCAACTGATGGTAAGTTGTACAATCTTGGATTTGAAGTTCTCTTGCCGATCAACTTTAAAGTGAGATTGATATTTGGTGATTCCCTTATCTTCTCCCCAATAATTCGAAAAGACTTTACTAAAACATTGTGAGTATCCAACATTTCCCTAAGCTTACGAACAATCTCGACATGTAGCGAGTTCACATTCTCATCTTTCCTGTAAGAAAATGACAAACAAAATATTTCATGAAAAAAATTTGTTTTATGCGTATATAACTTCTATGTAAAAAATGATGAGTTTTGTTAATTTAAGTATATACCTCACCGACTTCATTCTATTGAAATCTTCATTTTGCGTGTCGTGAATATAGAGTTGGGCGAATTTCGGAAGTATACCAGTAGGTGGTAGCAAACTCCCAATTTGATGATAATTCTGCCCTCCTAGCTTAAACGTAGGCGGACCTCTACCAGGGGTAGAGTCTCTAATAATTTTCTCACCGAGAGACGTGAATGAGAACATACAATTATATGATCGAATATTTGATTGGAAGTGCTTACTCCCAGCATCCGTCTCATTGAGCATGTCCTTTAGAGGCATAGGGGCTTCTTTGATTGGAGCAAGTTTGACGTTTCCATGTTTACAACACAGTGAATACTTTGGGTCCTGACTTATTAGACGCTCTTCTAGCCAAAAGAAGGCCTTGCAGTGTTTATAATTGTAAACACAATCACCAACGTCCCAATAATCAACAATTTGGAATAAGTTCTTGCGAGAAGAGTTTATTTGATGATGACAGGAAAAATCTTCCTCTTCGATAAAATCCGAGTCCAAATCTCTGACGACATTTGAAGGAGTGTTTTCTCGATCTTCATTGGGTTTATTTGAATCTACACCCCAACTTTGGGTGATAAATACGTCAATCAGTGGATCAGACATGACGGAGGAATTGCTATCTTCGTTCACTGTGTGTTATTAGAAGAGTAATGTGTAAAGAAATAATATAGGATATTAAATGTACACAGAGTATCTTACCCAACACACATTTGAATATTAAATAAGACGTTGTTTAATACATTGTAAACGCACCTACTTGTACAAATCTTTTCCTTTTGATACCAACATTTGGTTGTGTAAGACAACTTTTAGGCTCAGTTGTGGGTGATCGAGTACACAATCGCAAAGATATTTTGTCAGTACTATTTGGAGCCGAATTAAAACGATCAAATGGGGTTAGAATATTAACTTCAAAAAAACATGTATACATACATTTAAAAAAATTTAAATAAATGATCTGATATGAAATATAAATATAATCAACTCACATACCATTCATTAAGTCGGTCAAAGGTGACGGAGTGCACAAATCTTGCATTGATGCATTTGTAGGTAAATATGATTGCGAGATAGTAATTCTTCTCGAAATGTTTCCATCATGATTTGACGAATTAGATTTTTCTTGGCGCATATTCGAACTTCCATTTTCTATGCAAAATATATACACAAATTGAACATGGATGAATGACGTGTTACGATAAAATTGCTCTATAAATAGAAATATTATGTAAATATCTTTTGGTTCTAAATTTGAAAGTCCACATTCAAAACGTAACATTCATGAGATTCAAATAGGTATACAAACATGTTAAATATATTACTGTATATTTTATATCTTTTATATATAGTAGGTTTCCATTGTATAGGGTTTCCTTGTGTATTTCTTACCATAGTTAGGAGACTCGTGCTTTGTATATATACGGGGCTGGACTCCACAAGATTAATATAGAAAACAATAATTCTTCATGGTATCAGAGCCTCTTTCCGAGACCTAAACCCTAAACGCCGTTCTTCTTCCTCGGCTTCCCTTTCTCGGCCGGCTCCTCTCAAGTGGCTGCTCTCTCTCCCTCTCGGCCAGTCTCTCTCCTGCGACGGCCCTCCTCACCAGCGTCGTCCCTGCTGTGCGTCTCTCTCCGTCGGCGACAGCTTCCCCAGCACCCCTCTCCTCTCCAGCACCATCACCATGTCCGAGAAGAACCCCGAATCAGAGAAATCAGCCACCACGCCACCCTCCACTCCTCACTTGGCGTTTACAACCATCTCCAATGTGATGCTTCACGTCCCGATCCTCTTGAGTTTTACCGAACCAAACTATAATAAATGGAGCCGGTTGTTCCTCCTCTTGGTTCGACGCTTCTCCCTCGGTGATTTTCTCACCGGAAAATCAGCCCCCTCTAGCACCGACGACACCGAATGGTACCAACTTGATGCACTTATCCAAGGGTGGATTCTTTCCACAATCAATGATGAGGTTTCCGATCTTGTCCTCTCCTCTACTGATTCGGCATCGGAACTCTGGAAATCTATTCACTCCCTATTTCATGACAACAAACATGCACGGGCTATGCAATTGGAGCACCAATTCCGAACGACGACGAAAGGGTCGCTCTCCATGTCGGCCTATTGCCAAGCTCTCTGAAACTTGGCCGATTGGTTGGACGATGTAGATGCCCTAGTCTCCGAACAACAACTAGTGCTGCACGTTCTCCGAGGGCTTCCGGACGATATGCTGAATCAAACGTCCTTCCTCCAGTTTCAAACGCCGGCCCCGATGTTCCTTCAAACCCGCTCGGCACTCCTTCTCATCGAGCGTTAACGGATAGATCTGGGCAGCGACGACCACTCCTCCGGCATAGCCCTTCTCTCGGCCAGCAGCCCCAGCGCCATCCTCCACAGCCCACAGCACCAGCAGCGTCCCCACAATACCAGCGGCGGTCGAGGACAGCACCAGCACAGCAGCGGCAGTGGCCGTGGCCGTGGCGGTCACCGCAACCGCGGTCGCGGTCGAAGCTCTGGATCGAATCCCCGCTCCACCCCTGGACAGCCCTAGCAGACACCGTACCCCAGCCCCTATCCTGGCCTTCTCGGCCCTAGGCCCACCTACCCT